ACAGAAACTGGAAGTTGGTTCCACAAGAGAGGAGCCTGATAACTGAAAGATCCGCCTCCCATTCTGTTTTTGGAAACTGTAGTGACCACAAGTAAACCTGCAGTCTGAGAGCAAATTGCTCTGTTAGGAAAATATGGAACAATAAGATCTGTAATATAAGATGGAGCTAGGTTGTTGAGAGCTTTGTAGGTTAGAACTAAGATTTTGAATTCTATTCTGGATTTGACAGGGAGCCAGTGGAGAGAAACTAAAACTGGAGAAATATGATCTTTTTTTTTTTTTTGCTCTCTCTCTCTGGTTTCCCGGGAAAACAGAAAGATTCCCCCTGACTCCTTACCCCCACCCCCCCCCGCCCCCACACACACACACACGCTTCCCTGCTTGCACTCTTTCATCCTGTGAACCCTTAAAGAGCCTCTTTTTTTCTGCATACCTCCTAATTCGAAAGATCAGCTGGTCTCAACAAAATTGATCAACTTCTCCCGACAGGAGTCAGGGTAAGGAGGACCCTCTTACCTCGACAGAAACAAATTGGATTCATGGTGACAACTGGTTTTTTGCTGTTTGGCTGGTGAAATCTGGATTGTCTATCAAATCATGTGGATGTGTCGAAGCTCTGCAGCACTCAGACTGAATTATGTGCAGCTGTTATCAGGACTGTGAACTCTCTAGCAACACATATGAAGGTGGGAATAATCTTGGAGAAGCTGTGAGCTCGACTTTTGGCTTAAAGGATCAATTTGGCTGTTTGGAGCTCCATCAGAGGAATATATACCAGCGAGACTTTAGAAGGCAGAAACAACAATTCACAAGTTCTGCCTGACCCAAACTGTGGCCTGGACTCCAGACTTATCTCAACTCCTCCTGGAATGTTTTGAAAACGACAAAGATGTTTTGTCTCCTCACCCATCTCTTCCCCAAGGCAGTGGACATGTAACAGAACCTCAACTGAGCTGAAGATGAACGTCACCTCTTATCTGGACAATGGCTGAGGGCGGGCTCTGGACTATGCTACGACTTTCCCTTAAAAATTCAATGTCTTCACCGGCTTATATGTACATGTATAACATATATATGTACATGTATAACATATATATGTACATGTATAACATCTGTTTATGTTGCTTTCCTGTGGTAGTTTTTTTTTGATGCCTCAAATCGTGCCCTGTCTAGGACACGGCGTGAAAGATCTTTTTTTTAATACTGTCTCATGTTTTCTTCCCTTTTCTCATCTAAACAAAATATTATTCTGAACAAGAATAAGAGGGCCGTGCTTTTAATAGTTGCAGCTTCGTGCACTCCGTCCGTCTTTCGGATGAGTGTACATACATGTTCTCATTGTATCTCAGTGCAGTGATAATAAAGTTTATTCTGATTCCAAAAAAGTTCAATCTGGTCCTCTGGACATTCAAAAAAGCAAAAAACAAAACAAAGCAAAAAAATCTAGAAACGTTTCGTCTCTCATCCAAGAGACTTCCTCAGTCTGAGGTGCTGTTTTCAGCTCCGTCTCTTAAATAGCACCTTCTCAGGGTGGATCAACCAGTTTTGCTGCTGACAACCAAAACCAGCTGATCACATGCTCAAGAAGGACCATCAGCCTAACAATGGATCATTAGCACACTGATGGCTGTTTACTACTCACAGAGGGCTGAGTGATACTAGCAATCACAGCATTGTAAGAGGGGGACAGTTGAACCCGGAGGCCTCCACCCCTGTTTAATGATGGACGATTTCTTTTCACAAAGATGGCCTCCTTTACTCCTCTCTCAAACCATCGTTCCTCTCTGTCCAGGATGTGAACATCTTCATCCCTGAAAGAGTGA